ATTTTTTTTAGTCCAAGTTCATGGACTCCAGGTTAAGAACTTATTTGAACACTGGAATCACTAGGTAAAATATACCCTTCATATAGTTTCCTCAAGGCAACTTTGACTTCCTTGTTTCTCAGGCTATAGATGATAGGATTTAACATGGGGGTAACAATACAGAAGAGGACAGAGACCAGGATGTCCACATCTAGAGAGTAGCCTGAGCTGGGTTGATCATAGTTGAAGTTTCCAGTTCCATAATAGATAACCACCACAGTGAGGTGAGAGGCACAGGTGGAGAAGACTTTTTTTCTCCCTTGAGCAGACTGGATTTTCAAAATGGCAGAGATAATGAGCATATAGGATACAGCAGTGAAAAGGCAGGGGCTCAGACCAATGGTGGCACTGGATACATAGAGTGCAACCTCATTGGCTGAAGTATCTGAGCAGGAGAGTTTTAGGAGTAGGGGGATATCACAGAGAAAATGGCTGATCTGGTTAGGACCACACAAAGTGAGAGTTACCATGAGCCCTGTGTGTGTCAGAGAATTCACTAACCCACACAACCAGAACCCACCTGCTAAGTAGGCACAGACCCTCTTGCTCATGAGAACTGGGTAATGTAATGGGTAGCAAATGGCTATAAATCTGTCATAAGCCATAGCAGCCAACAAGACACACTCAGAACCTGAAAAAGTTACAAGGAAGAAGATCTGGGACAGGCAGCCTTCATAGGAAATGGTCTTCTTCTCTCTGAAAAAGTTCACCAGCATGATGGGGACAGTGGTGGAGGTGTAGCACATGTCCAGGAAGGACAAGTTGCTGAGGAAATAATACATAGGAGTATGAAGAACAGGGTTGATTCTGATGGCTGTTAATATGAGGAGGTTCCCCAGAAGAGTTACCAGATATACAACCAAAAATATCAGGAAGAACAATCCCTGCAGTTCTGGGTGGTTGGAAAACCCCAGGAAGATGAATTCAGTGACAACTGATTGGTTTCCCCTTTCTTTAACATCCTTCATAGCTGGAATGAAAATAGAAGATTATTTGAGGGAGAAAAAAGTTCACACCTTCCTCTATCTCACACCCCTCTATCTCACACCCCTCTTTACTACACTATTGGCTACAGAAATCAATGGGAAGTACTTAACCTGGAACAGAGAGAGCAAAGGAAGGACAAAGATGGACAAACATGTCCTCATATGAGGACAGCCTCTCAAGGGAGGAACCTTGGCTTGACTGGAATTCTCAACTCATGAATTTGGAGTTCTCTCTCAGTAGATTGCTTCACTGATATTCACTAACCCCTCTGCACTGAGGTCCGTGATGGTTTTCCCTTTAATATTCTTCATAGCATCAGTGAAAATAGAAGATATCATTGTTTGAGGGAGGAGAGAGTTAACCCCTTCCTCTCACTGGATCATCACATTCATTCATATCATTTGAGATGAACTCAAACTTTAGACAGATCTATCAGAATTGTTAGAGAGGGCTGACCTTTGTTCATCATTCAGAGTGGATCATCTGCTGCTAGAAACAAATTTGTTTTCATCCCACCTGGATCTGAAATGAGAAGCAAAGATCAAGAAACCATGCTTTGGAGGGCATGTCAACTCATTGATGAGGCAGGACAGAAGCTGTGCTGTGATTGTAAAGGTGGCTCTCAAGCTGTTTTAGCCTGTGACCTTGTTGTACTTCAAGAACATATAAGAACATAGCAGTGTCCACACTGGGTCCAACTGATGGTCCATTCAACCCAAATCCTGTTGACAACAGACATCCTAAAGGGAAGTACCATAGGAGAGCCTTTTGTCCACTGATTTCAATTTAAGAGTTGGTAATGAGATGTGGGCCAACTTCATCTGGTTCTCCAGAAAAGGAAAGTAATACTCCTGATCACATTACATATGGAGAATGGTTCAGGACATTTCCTTTTAGAAAGGCTCCTAGAAGCCTACATTTAGAACTTGAAGAGAGCTGGAGATCTACTAGTCTAATTCCTTCATTTTGTGGAAAAGGAAATTGGTACTCAGAGAGGTTAAGTAATTTGCCCAAGGTTACACAGCTAGCAAGCAGCAGATCTGAGTACAGATCCTCTGACCCCAAGATCAGAGCCTTTTCCAATTCTCCATGC